GCCGGGGGCCGGCGCCTCCCCGCCGCGCCGCCGCTTCATGGCGGCCGCCGCGCCGCGCTCCTCCCGCCTTCTCGCCGCTGATTGGCTGCCGCCCGCCGCCCGCCGCTGTCATTGGCCGCCAGGGCCGGCGGGAAACGGCGGTCGCTAAGGCGACGGCAAGCGCGCGACGAGAAGCGAGGCGGTGGCCGAGAGGGGCCGAAAGGCCTCGCCAGGCGAAGCGGCGGCGCTTCGGAGTGACACCGGTGACAGTGACACCGTGGGCCTGGTCGGTCCCTCCAGCTCCCCAAATAAAGTCTGTCCGCTCCGGCTCTCACCTTGTACTTGCAGCAAGGGCTGTTGCAACCGTACAGACCTAAGCACATCCGTCCCTTCCTATCAGCCGAACAAATGTCACCAGCCCGCTCAGTGTTTGGTTGTTTATTCATTTATTTTTTAAGGAAAAGAAAGGCTCCACTGGCAGCAGAGCCTCAAGAATCACTTCCACCACGTGGGTTTCATTGGTGGCGGGGGAATGAAAGCGTTAACCAGATACACAGTGATACCCAGGAGAGCTTAGCACCGCTAACAGCACTTTGCATGCAAAGCTCTCCAGCTGCTTCCAAGAACTGGGTCCTTTCCCTCCCCTGCTTTTTTAAATTATTTTATTCCCAAATAGGGTCCCGAGGCACAGAGAGGTGGATAAAATAAAAAACAATCTTCCTGCAATCCGGGTAGCGAGTCAAGGCAGCCCTAGGAAGAGAGAGCAGCCTGGTCCCGACCGCTGCCCCAAGAGAAAGGGGAGACAAACGCCAAGAACGTGACAATTCCTTCAAGTAAATAAAGGAAACATCCCAGGAGGAATAAACAGAGAGGATGAAGCAAAGGACATGCAAAGCGGTGGTAACTGCTGGACATGGGGACACACCACGTTGACTGGCCCCAAGCAGCGTCATCTCCCGGCATTGCCTCAGAGGCGGCCACCAGAGACGGTCCGGGAGCCTTGGTCTTTCACTGTGTGGTGCATTTTTGGGAACATGTTCCTGCTGGGCAGCACAAACAAGACACAAACGCTCCCCCATGACAGGTATGAAGGGTCCCGGCCCCGGCATGGCACCTGGGAAGGATCCCAGGGGAGATTTCCCTCCTTGCTGGCAGGTGGAAGTGCGGACATGATGCCTTCAGCACCCCATTGAGCACGGGATGGAAACTGCTCCATGGAGCACACTGAGGGTGCCACCTCCCGTGCCACGGGCACCCAAGGGAGACACGGACTGGAAACGAACCCCTTGGAGCACCTGCCTCCAGGGCTGGTTTGTCTCTGAACCGTGACACCAAGAGAGAAGCATCAGAGACTGCATCTTGTCCCAGAGCCCTGGCCTGCCCTCCACCCACCTCCAAGGGCTTCCAACCTGGATTTGCTCGGGGAGCAGTGAAACCCTGGGAAGGTGCCATGGGAAGGTGCCTGCGAGCAGGGAGAGGAGGGAGGACAGGACCCCATCCCAGGGCTCAGCTCTCACCAGGGCCAAAGGGAAGCCAACAGGTTCTGGTAGCAACCACAGGGTCATCCCGGCAAATTCAGAAGAACAGCAGGCAAATGGGGGCAGCTCGGGGATGGCTGCTGAAGACTGAAAATGTCAATGAGAGAAAGCAAGCAAGAGCATGTCCAGCCCTTGGAGAGTCCATTGTCTTGGATGTAAGTTCTTTGGTGTAGCAGCTGGGCGCCCCTGGCAGCACAGCGAGTCGCCTCCTTCCTCCTTGGCACGACTGCAGCGGTAACAAATCCAGCTGGAGAAGCGATCCGCATCGCTAGACCCCCATGGGGGCACGAGACTACCTTATTTCCAGAGACAAGACCTAGGCCCCAATGGGCAGAACAAGTGTCTGAAGTCCCCCAGAGAAGCCTGTAGCTTTTCAAACTGGGCTCAGACGTACTAGAATAGGAAATGCCTAAAAAAAAAAAAGTGCTAATTTTGACTTTAAAAGTCAGAATTTATGTTCTGCAGTGGGGACTCGACACTGCCTTTTAAGTCTCTGGTGAGATGTGTGCGTGTTTGCAGAGGTAGAGCTCTCTTTCCTGTTTCACCCCAGCATCCCTGGGCGATAGGCCCACAGCCAGCCAGGAATGTCTCCAGAGGGAGAACGGAGACCCGGGAGAAGGGTGCTGGCCAAGTGCTCTGCCCGCGTGTAAAGGGTGCACGGAGGCTCTCGGGCACGACAGCAGCCATGGAAAGAGGAGCTAGTCCCGGAGATGGGAGAGAAGGGCGCCCAGGGCCCTGCCTGGCAGCAGCAGCAATGCCCCAGGCCAGCATCACAGTACGAGCGATCATAAGGATTTCTGCCAGCTCAAATACATTCAAGCAGCAAGTTCCTGACCAGGTTGTGAGGTTACAACGAGGTCCATTTGGGCCACAGCCTTGGGGGTTGGCAGCAGGTGTTATCTGGACTTCTCTTTTCATGTTGAATCAAAATTCACTGCACGTCCCTTCTCTACACCCCTCACTCATCGGCACAGCCCCGCTCATACCCGAGAACCATCTGGCCGCTAAGCAGACCCAAAATAGAGCACACAACCCCTTTTAAAGGTAGGATTGCTTAAGCCAAACGTGGGCTGCCACGTTCTTTCACACCGCTGAGCCCAACTACACAGTCCTACCCACTTCCTTACACCGGCACAGCTGCTCACGGAACCGGGCAGGGAGCCAGCTACAAACTAAGCTCGGTTAAATTAAGCAAGAGGGGCCCACGGGGCAGGGGAGATGTGAGGCAGTGGTGGGAGAGCCCGGCCAGCAGATCATGAGGTGGTCAAGCCCTGGAAGCCCAAGATTGAAACAGTTTAAGCCTCCCTTGAACTGCGCCCAGCACCTGGGCTAGTGTTACCCTCCCACAGGGCCTAAAGGCAGGTTTATCTTTGTATTTAAGAGACACCTTTTGCAGCCTTCCCCAAGGCTCTTGAGAGAGACAAGAGCCTGGACTCACACTAGCAATCTGCAGCAAGAAATGCAAGCAGGGACAGTCAGGGACCATGAATTAAAAATCCAGAGAGGATAGGGAACATAAATCAAAGGAGCAGCCCTAAGCATATGGTGCTCAGGTCTGTCAGAGCAGAGCGGCCCTAACACACAGTGCAGGTAATTTGCCCTCCACCTGGAGGAGAGATGAAAGGTTTCTTAGCACCAAGTAATGCCACACAGTGGTTCAGGGCAGGGAACAAGGAATTCCCAACACCCACCAAAACTGCAGGGGAAATTTGATCAGAATGTGGCCATGAACTGTGGTCACCATCCTCTACCTCTGCACAGAAAGAAAGAAATAAAACCCATCCTGATTGCAAGCAGTCAAGATCAGAATTAGGATAGGCCCCTTGCAGCACCGAGTCTCATGCAGAACACCAAGATCCAGAGGGAGAGAAGCACCACATATGGGATCATAAATGCCATAATCTGCAGTGACAGGGATCCCTTCAAGGTGGCGTCACCCCAGGCACAAACACCAATGGGTTAAGCCACCCTGAAGAAAAGTTCTCCCCTCCTAAGAGCTTTCAAGCAGCTGTCCTCAGGTATCAGTGCCCACAACCAACCTGCTCCTGCAGTTAGGACAGCTGCTCTGGACTCCTTCCTGCAGACATGAGTCAATATGGGAATGGTCAAATGCTCCATCACTACAACCTGCTGCAATTCAACCATTGCCAATAGCCAGGTCAAGCTCCTGATGAGGCAGGAGCCCTGGCTGCTAGAGCCCGGGGTGTGTGAAGAGCCAGCAGGCTGAGCCCCCTGGGCAGAGGTTCTCAGTCACAGACAGGTCTCTGCTGTCACCCTTCCAACGCGTTGAGACTGTTTCAAGTCACACAGACAGCCCAGCCTGGCCCCCTCGCCCCAAGAGGGCCCCTCAGCAGGGCTGAAAAGGACCAAGGACATGGTAATGAACATGGGTTGGCACAGAGCAGCAGCGGGCTCTACAGCTGGAGCAGAGCAGCTGCCACCGAGACCCCATGAACGAGTGTACACACGATCACGTGTGCTTTGATTCCTGCATGAAAACGCAGCGCACAAGGAGGAAAGGAGCAGAGATGGTGGCTGCAGGAGCTGGCGCCAGGGTTGGGCTGTAGCACTCCCTCCCCTCCTGGACACTGGAAGCTGCCCCTTCCAGCAGGTGCCCGTCTCGGCCCGGGCAAGGTGCCATCGTGGGCAGCGCGCTGGCCACGAGGCCTCCAGCTGGCGGCGGGCAGAGCTGTCAGGGAAGCAGCAGCAAGGCCCGTGGCTGGCGCTTCTCCAGAGGGGCACCAGGACTCCGGCTTCTTGGCCTCCCGCAGCAGCCGCCTCCGCTGCCGGCAAGCGCCCAGCGCTGCACAGAGCCGGGAAGCGCAGGCAGCAGCGGGGGGCCGGGAGCCAGGAATGGCCCCTGACTGCTCTCAATAGGCACTCGGTGCTGGTGGCTCTAGGACACTGCCAGGCCCCGGGAGACTCCCGCAGCGTTGGTCGAGGAGCAGGGCAGGTCCCCCCGTCTCCAACGCTACCTGAGCTGGAGCCGGCTGAACCAGGCGCTCACTGCACAGTCCACACGCATCACCAGCAAGATGCCCAGCAGGAGGCAGACGCTGCTCACCACGAAGCCCAGTGCTTCAAAGAGGAACCTGCGGGCCCAACAGGCACAGTGAGGGACCATGAGCATTCCTGCAAGGACAAGCTGCTTTGCCCTCACTCCCAGCAGACTGATTTCCTGAGAGCAAGAGGCTGGTGACACCCCACATCCAAAAACCTAATTACATTCACCCCCCAGTAATGGATGCTACCTGCAGCCTAGAAGCCAAGCAGACCTGAAGTTCCCCAATGGTCTAGAAGCCATTTATGAAGACACTTAGGATGGATTTGGAAAACTTCAAGACACCAAGGATGTCCCATGCCCCTGCTAACCCTTGCCTAATGCCAACTCATTTCTGAGCTGGTAGCTCTACATTGGCTCCCTGCCTTAAATATTTTCCTGCTCACTGCCCTGCCTGGCAGGACTGTCATGGTTGGTCTGCAGATCCCACAGGATTTTGGTTATTCGCACTCGGACAGTTCACCAAGTATGTGGTAGCTCTACATGTTCTCAGAAATCAAGACTAGGAGAAATTTCTATACTGTAGTTTAAGACCAGCTTTTTGACTAGAAAATGGAATTTATTTGGGATGGTCCTATAGGCTCTGCTAAGTAAGAAGTCAGTGTGAATGAGCACGTTCCCCTCTCCCTGATGTTTGCACACGCTAATTGACAGCTTGGCAATAAGAGCCCTAATCCAGCATCAGAGCAACTCCTAGGACTTACTTTGGGGCAAAGACCTTCCAGACCATGAGGTGCCTCCTGAGGATCAGAGCTGCACAAACACAGGCCAGAAGCTGTGGGGAAGACGAGGAAAAACAGGTTACAAATGACTCTGGAGAGACCTCCTGGCAACGGATGCACATCTGAAGAGTCCTAAACCGTGCACACCTGAGGGGCTACAACAGTGCACATCAGAGAGAGGCAACACACAGAGGATTTTCTTCCACTGTGGCCTCAAAGGAGGAAAGACAGAACAGCTGAGCTGCCCTACCAGCTCACTGAGAGGGGCACTGGTGCTCTCCTGCTGTAAGGGCTTGCCCCTTCCCCTATACTGGTAATGGACTGACCATTCAGAGAGATCATTTGATGGGCTGACTCCTCGAAAGCTCTTTGCTTCTCTCACGAGGCAGGTTTTCTGCTGTTTAGCTATCTACACCATCACAACATGGCTCAGATGAGCCAGCTGGTGCAAATGGATATGCCAGGTCAGGAGGAGGGGAAGTAGGATTACGATCTTGCAGCTTCTGAACAGCTGCCCCCACTCTGCAAAGCTGGATCCAGAAGGCAGATCATTGTGTGAAGGTGCTCTGGGGCTGACAACCCACTGCTCTCCTCTTGGGCAGCCCTCGCCACCACTGTCAGCCTCTGCCCATACCTGCATGCCCAGGACGAAGAGGCACTTGAGCCCCAGCTGCAGCAGAGCCGCCGAGAACCTGTCCGGGGCCTCCCGCAGCCTCATCTCCATCATGTGCTCCTCTTCCTCGTGCAGCTCCTCCCGGGGCTCCTTCCTGGCCTTCCTCCTCTGTGTGCTGGGCGCCTCACACACAAAGGGCCAAAGCAGGAGCAGAGGGCAGCCGACTGCCTCGAGGACAAAGGCACAGGGAGTTACTGGGAGCCCAGTGGGAGCAGCAGCCTGTGCCGGGCCGCTGTGCAGGGGCTGCACTGGAGGCACGTTCGCTGCTCCAGGCTGACCCAACTGCACGGAGCCTGCAGGCCACAGTGGCCCCAGGAGGGCACAGCAAAGATGCTGCTCTTGGGCTGGTGCCTTTGTGCAAAACCTCCAGCCAAAACAAAGCTGGGAGCTGTGCTGGCTCAGCGGCCCAGGAATAAATTGATTTACCTGCAAAGAGGATGTGGGAGGCGAACGTGTTGGCGCCCACCAGGAGAGCGGGCAGCAGGTTTGTGCTGTGGTCGAGGTGGAAGCCCACAAAGGCTGCGTTCCAGTGGATGGCTGGGAAGATGGGCTGGTGGCCTGTGGAATAGAAGAACTGGGAAGCAGCAAGGAGCCAGGAGATGACCGCATACCAGGGCACTGAAAAAGGCTCTGAGAAACAGAGAGACAGAGAGAGAGATCAGCATTGAGGAAACAGAGAGATCCATGGTCTAAAAACCTGCATTGCGTTTCCTCTCAGGTTCCCTTCCCACACACACGAGTCAGCTCCCAGCACACGGAATGGGAAGCAGTTGGACATCCCCTCCACTCTCCCAGGGCTCCCCCAGCACCACTGAGGTTTGGTGGCTCCTCACGGCCTGAGGAGTGCAGACGGGTGAAGAAGAAACCCCTTCCCTGATGCAACAGACTCCTCTTCCTCCCAAGGGAGATGGGTGAAAAGCCCCTTCCCTGACACCAGGGGCTCCTCCTCCCACACTGCAACCCGGCTGCATATGCTTTTTCAGGAGGTTTAAGCAGCTCTTGTAAACACAGGAGTGAAGATCAGTGCACCCCATTCCTTGGGGGCAGAGACTGGGCCCTGCCTATCAGTGGAGAAAAGAAGAGGCCACTGGAGACAAGGCCCAGGCCGCAGCCCAAGGCAGAGCCAGAGGGTGCTCTGCTGAGCCCCAACTCACCAGCATCTCCAGCGAGGCTTCTGGCACGGGCGTGGATGTGCAGGAGCACAAAGGCCTCCAGGAAGAGGAGCAGGAAGGCGAGACTGAGCCGCTCGCTGTGCAGGAGCAGCAGGAGGAAGGCCAGCAGGGTCAGTGCAATGACCAGGGCAGCCGAGTACACGCTGCCCAGCCCGTAGGCAGCCACGGCGGCCCCGCAGCCACCCCGCTCCAGGTGGCTTTTCAGGGACTCCTGCATCCTCCTGTAGATCTGCGGGATGACGTGCAGGAAGTCGACCTCGGAGCTGGCAACGCCCAGGTAGGGGGTGACGATGGGCCCCGCCGTCTCCCGCGTGTCCTTGGCAAACACCGTCACGGGCTTGCACAGCACGAGCAGCAGCCCGGCGCCCACGAGCCCGTAGACGGCCCACGGGAAGGCCACGAGCGCCACATGCACCAGCTCCTGCAGCTTGCCCAGCGAGTCCTCGGCGCTGGAGGCCACGGCCCAGTAGCAGGCGACGAAGACGGCGAGCAGCGGGAAGCCCCAGCGCACGAAGAGCACGGCGGGCTCGGAGCCGTTGAGGTTGCCGCAGTGGCGCAGCCAGCGCCGCACCGCGCACACCAGCGCCACGAGCGCGGCCACGCACGCCAGGTAGAAGAGGTTCTTGGCCCGCGCGTCCCGCAGGCCGGCGAGCGGCGCGAGGAAGAGCGAGGGCCGGCACTGCGGGCTCTCCTCCCGGCACTGGTGGAAGGCGGCGGAGAGGCGCACGCAGAGCAGGAGCGCGGCCACGAGGTACAGCAGGTGCCAGCTCTCCTTGCGGTACGAGGAGGAGCTGAGGAGCTGCTGCCTGGGGCCCTCGGGCACCGTCAAGCGCCCGTCCCAGTGGAGCTTCCCCACCAGCAGCGCGACCAGCGAGGCCAGCAGGAACGGGACGACCCGGGCCTCGGCCACCACGAAGCTGTCGGAGAACATGGCTCCGCAGCGGAAGAGGAGGATTCCCATGGGAAAGGCCAGCGCCGGGCACGCTTGCAGGCGCTGCCTCAGGCTGATGCTGGCCACAGGGGGATGGCTGCTTGCCGAGTGGGCTCGCTTGGGCTGCCGGCCCCACCAGCGCCAGAAAAAGGCCACCTGAGAAACCGCGGCTGCCCAGGAAGACACCACGAGGAGGTCCAGCCCCTCCTGCATGACAGCACAGGCCAGCCCCAGCAGCAGGGCTGCGGCCAGGCCCCAGAGCAGCGGGGCCAGGAGGCAGCTGCGGTAGAAGGAGTCCGGCGCGGCGGGCAGCGCCGAGGCGACGTAGCAGAGCAGGCAGGAGGCAGCAATGAGGGCGCAGCCGGCCACCATGCGCAGCGGGCGGAAGCGGGCCCAGCTCCGCGCGCACACGGCCCGCGCCTCCCGCAGGTAGCGCTGGAAGCGGCCGAGCAGCCTCCCCAGCCTGGCCTGCAGCTCCGGCGACGATGGCTTCTCCTCCTGCACGTGGGCCACGAGCTGGGCGTGCTCCTCCACGGCGCTGGAGAAGATGTCCTGCAGCTGCTGGAGCTCCTCCGTCGGCAGGTCCTGCGCCACCAGCGAGTAGGAGCGCAGGAACCGGTCCACCTGCAGGACAGGGGCCAGGATGAGACAGCAGCCCCGGCACCCCTGAGACAGCGGTTTCCCTGTCACCTGCCCCGACAAGTCCTTCAGCAGGGAGGCAGCCCTGGTGTGGCAGGCCCTGCCCTCGGCTGGGCACCCAAATACAGCAGGTGGCCAGCAGGTTGTATCTCTCTGGCTAAAGGAACTCACCCCTTAGGTGACATATCCATCCTGACAAACACATCCACACATCTCAGCTAGCCACTTCTCAGCTTGCTGGGAGCCCTTAACATAGACATTGCTATGGGGTCTTTGCAGAGTCTTGAGTAACAACATGGGAAACATCCCTAAGAGGTTCCAGTCATTACTAGCTGTTAACCTGCATGCTCTGATAGCCTTTTCCTTATTTTTTTCAGAGGACAGACATCAAATTAAACAGCTTTCAATTGCTCAAGCCAAGCTGTTCCCTGTTTTTGAACATGGGTGAACTAACCCGCTGTGCCACTGGTCAAGAAAAGCTCATTCTGCCTGTGCTTCAAGTCAGCAGGGACTTGAAGCAGGGACCCCGATGTTGTACAGGGCACTACCAGGGTCCAGCACCCACACAAAGGTCCATCAACACAAGCCCTATACACTCAGGTGCCTTCCAGGAGCCTCAGGACACAGGCAGGAGCAGCCCACGCACCAGACAGGCCCTCAGGCTCTCCCCAGGCTTGCACGGGCCCCCTGCTAGGCCGCGTTCAGAACCCAAGCCAGAAAGCTCCTCAGACGACTAAGAGCAAACACTCAAAGCCACGGGGCTGGATGACATTAGCTTCGACCAGAGGATGATCAATATTTGTGGTGACTAATGGGCAGGAGGGTGCACTGGCATCATCCTTAAATGACAAAGCAGCCTCCTCCTCTATAAACACATGGCAGAGATGCTGAACGCTTCTGCCTTCCCACTGGCAATCATACGGTCTGCTCTTCACTGACTTGCCCCCCAGCCTACACAGCACGGGTTGTATCCAGGCTGCTGGACCCAAAACAGGGCCCACGCTGGGGTGGCTTCTTCCATGCACAGCCCCCAGGTACAGCAGGGAGCTGCCTGGGGGCTGAAGGAGCTATTTTGGGGCCAGGAGCATGATTCCTGCAACGCAGAGGCCTCTAAAAGGCAAGCAGGGCCTGAGAAAGGGCTCCGTAATTCAGAGGATTGCAGCAGATCTGCTCCTGCTCCACAAAACCATGCAGGCCTGTCCCGGCACATGGCTCTGCTCCAGTACTCGGGCTTCTTTCATGCCTGGTATATTCCCAATCACTCAAAAATCTTGGCCTTTCCAGCCATCCAAATGTCACTCAGCTGTAGGGTTCTGTATTCTCAGCACTTGGTTCAGACTGGTCACAGAATCCCAGAATGGCTGAGGTTGGAAGGGACCTCTAAAGATTGCCTAGTCTAACCCCGCCGCTCCAGCAGGGACACCTAGAGCACGTGGCTGATCCTTCTCTGTCATCCCAATTTATTCTTATTACTTGGTATTTTATTTAATCCTTCATTGCTGTTTTCCTTCTGTCACTGATTTTGAATAGTTTTTCAGCTAAAACCATTTCTGCTCCCAAACTGAAGCAGAATCAAAACTTTGTGCTCTTGACCCACACAACTTGCCCCTAATCCTCCCGAGCTCTGAGGAACCAGCCTTCCCAAACAACCAAAGCCACTTCTGACCAGCTGGGGCCAACCCTTCCCCAGCAACACGAACGGGGCCCAGAGATTTCCTGAGCCACGGCTCCTCACCAAGCACCAAACTGCATCTCTGAGACCTCTTTTGGAGACCAGTGCTGCCTTCTGCTGGAGCAAACCCCACAAGGAGGAAACTCTTCTAATTTAACTAATTAACTAATTCTAACTCTTCTAAGCTCCCCACGGAGGTAACTGTCCCACCTCCACCAAACAGAAGAAACCAAATAAACTTAAAAAGGTTGTTTTTAATCTCCCTTTGCCCTTTGGTTCAGCACGGAGGTCTGCAGTAGGTGCTACCTAGCCATCACCCAGCGTCAGAGAGCACATCTGAGAGCTCCTGTGTGAGAAAGAGCCCACAGCGAATTCCCAGCAGAGCCAGGATGCCAGAGCTCAGCCCCTGGCACTGCCCCGTGGCTGCCAGCAGCTCTCACCCTCCAGTGACCCCCTGCACAAGAGGAAAACAGCCCCGGGAGGGCCTGGCCTCACCTGGTTGGCATTGATGTGATAGACGTCGAGCTGCTGCAAGGCTGCAGACACGGCGTCGCCGTCCGTGGCGAAGAGCTCGGCCATCACCTCGCCGATGCTGCTGTAGGGGATGGGCACGCCCAGCAGCAAGGCCAAGGTGGGCACCAGGTTCACCTGGGGAACGACCTCGGGCTCCTGGAGAGACACAGGAGGAATATGGAGCTTGGAGGGGGCTCGGAAGGAGCTCGGGAGGAGCTCAGGGATGGCTGGTCACCCAGGTCAGAGGACAAGGGCATGGACAGCTAGGCACCCTGGTCACATCCCACCCCTTCCCTGGAGGCCAGGGGAGCCGCCTGCCCGGCCACCCGCTCGGCCCTGCAGCAAGCCAAGGGAGGGACATTCACTGAAGTGAATGGTCCAACAGAGCCTGCATCCATCTCACCTGCAGTCTGGTTTTTGTGAATTTTTTTCCCTCCAATAAGTTGGATTTTGCTTGACACAAACTGATACTGATCATACTCCTGACTTTTAAACTTACACTACCTGCCCCGTGTCCGACTTTTCCCCCACTCTCTCTGGAAGGGTGGCAGCCTGCCTGGCCATCAGTCGGACAATCCCACCAGAACCATCACTCTCCGTATCCCCACAATGCAGGTTTCTCCCTGGAGGTCCCCTCAGGCAATGAGCTAAACCCCACTACGGAGCAACATCTTCTCACCTCAGGAGGGTCAGTCCCAAACAGGGGTGTTTTGCTGTACACAAACAGCGCCGCATTCACTTCTTTCTCGCTGTCCCCTCCGTGGTCTCCGGTGTCCGTCATGCCATGGTCCCCAGCCACCACAAGCAGGGTGTCATTTCCCAGACGCTCTACCAAGGTCCTGTCAGCGGGACAGGGAAGGTCAGCACCAGCCCTTTGGAAGGTGGTAGAGGACACGATGGCCACCAAGCCTGTGTGCACCACGGAGGAGAAACCTGCACAAGCAGCTGAGCAAAACTACGGGCTGGTGCAGAGCCTCAGCAAGGGAAACAGGAACCAGCCTCTCTTTCCCCACTCAAACTGGGGAAAACCCCTGTGGATGCAGCCAGAACGAATGCCTGGGTCCCAGGGCAACACATGAAACAAAATGAAAAGCCAGAGCCCCTAGAGCAGATGGTTTTTGCCCAGATCCCCACCAAAGCTGTTATTTTTGCCATTTGGGAAGCTATACAAAACACCATTCCAAAGGGATGTCCCCAGCAGGAACAAGTTCCAGGCTGATGTTTTGGGGGGTTTTCAATTCCCACATGGGCACCCACGCACTGACACTGCCCTGTGGCACAGCTGGGGTTCCAGCTGCTGCTGCTGCTGCTGCTCAGGGCCATTCCCTGTGCAAACTGGCACAGTAGGAGCCTTTCCTGTTGCCCTCTGTGCCTGTGAATGCTCTAGGAACCCGCCACCAGCCCGGGCAATGGAAGAGTCAACCCCAACCATGCTGATCACCTGAGCATCTCATTCATCTGGAGGAGCTTCTTAGCCATTTCGGGATGGTCAGGCCCGTGTTTGTGCCCGCAATGGTCCACACCGAGGAAGTGGGCAATGAGCAAGTCCCACTCGCCACCATCCACTGCGGAACAAGAGCAGCGTCACCCTCTCCCCAAGATCGGGAGCCTCCAACATCCGGATGGGAGCGCCGGCCTCCCAGCTCCAGCAGACACTCCAGAAGGGCCGTGGGGCTGCCCCGGCAGCTGTCGACCAAGGTTAAGCTTGAAGGAAGAGGTGCCCTTTCTGCTCCATGCTAGAAGTGTATTTCCAATGCAGCTATGGAAGTCTAAGCTGTGGATGAATTCCACCAAGCCAGGCCTTCTCCCAAATTGAAGAAAGGTATTTAGAGGAACTCTTCCTCACTCCTCAAAGAGGGCTTATCTGTGGAAATCCAGCTAGGGCACTATGGTCCATGGGCTACAGCCACAAGCAGGTGAGAGAGCCTACTGCCATTCCACAAAGACGAACATAAACCAACCAACCAAACAAAAAACAGCCACCCACACCCCAAAGCTCTTCATTTCCACCTCGAACTCCTGCACTAGGACCCCAGTGTAACATAAAAGATTCAGCCTAGGGAAGGCTTACCCAAGACTAAAGGTCTCTGGAGAAGCGTTTCTTACCGGTTGAATAGAGATGCTGCAGGATCCCATTGTCGACAGTATGAAGATCCTTCACATTAAAAGAAGGGAAGAAATACGAGCGGTGAAACATCTTGGGGAAGAGTCCTTCCCAAGTGTCATCTCCCATGAAGACCACTCTCCTTCCTGGGGAAGCAAAGAAGGAATTAATGGGAGCAAGGAGCCCACCAGAGTCATGTTCTTATCCAAACTAACGCAGAGTATTGGCAGATTCAGGAAGGGGGCTGGAGCACTGGCCCAAACCCAAAGTGACCAAAAACTAACATCTCCCATGGGTTGTTAGCACGTCTAATGTCCCCACCAAAGGCCTGACAATCATCCAGTAAAACAGTAGACAAACGAGGTCTATGGACAGAGAGCGGCTGAGCAGAAGCTTTGAGTCCTAGGCTCAAAACCTGACCACAACAGTGGTGGTTTTTCAAATGCAGGGAAGGGAAAAGCACTGGTGTTTCCCATTGTCCCCGCTCTGCTTCCCCTATCCCGAACCAGCCACTCCCTGTGGGCTTCCAGAGAGTCTTCCCACTGCGGGAGCATGAACCGTGTCCTCCACAGCTGCTGCCACAGCATGGAATCTCCTTCCTATCATGGATCATTTCCTGCATTTGCTCCTCTTCCCCCACACGGGAGGTGCTGAAGCGTCGCCCCATCCCAGGTGCTGCTGGTATCTGTACCACGCAGAGCCCCAGCAGCGAGATCCAACCCCCTTACCGGCGTTCCCGGTGCTGCATTCTCCAAACACACACACGGCTCCGAGCTGCACAGGAGACGGGCCGGGGAGGCCGCCCAGCAGCTGCAGGCACCTGGCACCGCCAGCCCGAGCGCAAACACAACCCCCCGTCCGTGCCCTTGGCCACTGAGAGCCGTCCCGGGGCTGAGCCCGTGCCAGGCACCACCGGCACGACCCTTACTACCTGCTTTATCGTTATCCTTGAGGAAACTCTACCCACACTCCAGCCGCTGCCTGGCACAGGGCAAAACACCCTGTCTATGTGACAAGCCGCCTGTGGCCTTCAGCTGAGTAACTGCAAGGCAGGGATGCTGCAAGGGCAGGGATGCTGCCAACAGCCTCCTTCCCGAGGGAGAACGAAGCCCGCCCGCCGCACGCACCGTTGTGCACCAGCTGCGCCAGCAGGTTGTCCTCGCGGATGGCGTAGCTGGCGAAGTTGCTGCCCACGTCGACGAAGGTGGGCAGCGAGCCGGTGGTGAGGCCCTTGATGCGCTGCATGGTGGCCGTGGGCGCGTCGGCTCGGAAGCGGTACAGGCGGCCGTGGCGGGGCTGCGCGGCCGCCAGCTGCCGCAGGACGCCCAGCTTGCCGTGGTAGTGGCGCGGGCGGCCGCGCGCCGCGGCGGCGGCGGCGAAGTCGAAGCGCAGGGCGTCGATGAGCACGAGCAGGGCCCGGGCGAAGCGGCGCGGCAGCCAGCAGGAGCGCGGCGGGCGCTGCCCGCGCCACGGCCACGGCCCCGGGCCCGGGCCCGGCGGCTCCGCGCACGAGCTGCGCTGCGGCAGCTCCGCGCGCGTCAGCAGGAAGCCGCTCAGGAAGAGCCCGAGCCCGGCCGCGAAGAGCAGCGACACCCAGGCCAGGAAGAGCAGCACGGGCCAGCGCGGCATCCTGCGGGGCGGACACCTCGGCTCAGCGGGCACCCCGCAGGGCGCCCGGCACCGCGCCCCGCTCCCGCTCCCGCCCCCGGACCCGCTCCCGCGCCCGGACCCGCTCCCGCGCCCGCCGCCGCCCGCGCTACCTGCGCCCGCCGCGGCCCGGCGCGAGCCGCCCGTCCCCCCGGAAGCGGCGCACGCGGCGGCGGTGGCGGCGCCACCTGCCGGGCGGGAGGCGCGCGGCGGCACCGGCCCCCGGACCGGGCCCGGCCCCGTTCCAGCCCGGTTCCTCCCAGCCCGGTCCGGTTCCTCCCGGTACCAGTCCGGTTCTTCCCGGCCCAGTTCCTCCCAGCCCGGTCCCGTTCCTCCCTGGCCCGGTCCCGTTCCAACCCGGTTCCTCCCAGCCCGGTCCGGTTCCTCCCGGTATCAGTCTGGTTCTTCCCGGCCCGGTTCCTCCCGACCCAGCCCCAGCGGTGCCCCAGGGGCAGCTCCGTGCTGCTCCTCACGCCAGGCGTCCGGCCAGGCCAAGTCCAACCCAGCTCCCGCCTGGAGCGGGCCCGGCGACTCCGGGACAAAAATAACCCGCAGGCGAAGCGGCCGCTGCAGCTTCCCGGCTGCTCTGAGTGACAGCGGCAGGAGCTGGGGCAGCGGCCAGGACAACCGGCCAGGATGTGCAGGAATGCACCGGGATGTGACCAGGAGCCCCCCGCGTGGATCCCCTCTCCATAGGCAGCCCCCGGTGGGATTAGGATGGATCCGCTCTCACCCTGCGCCTTTTGCCCCTCGGCAGGTCCCGCTCCCGAGTGCCCTGAGGACGCGCTGCAGCCCCAGTACCCATTGCCTTTATTACATGATTAAATCCAAATACAAAATAAGAACCAGAAACAGAAGTGTCTGGGTGGGGAAGGCAGCAGCAGAACAGGATGCCCGGCCGCAGGGCAGGCACTGCGCTCAGGCTCCCCGCCCTGGGGGTGTCCAGTGTCCAGTGTCGCCCCAGCCCTGCTAGCTGGAGTCCTCCTGCTCCGCCTTGGGCACCTCCGCGCCGGCTGCCTGCACGTCCCCGGGGGCCGGCGGCTGCTCGGCCCGGCCGCGCGCGGCCTGCGGCTTGGTCAGCGTGCTGTAGATGCCCAGCGCCTGGGGGAACCAAGGGGCCGTCAGCGAGGAGAGGGCAACCGGGGCAGTGCAGGCGCAGGGGAGCAGCGGGGCGGCAGGGACGTGGCAGGACTGTGACAACGCAGGCCCCACGGGGCAGGCAGGGACACAACAGCCTCTAAGGGGGCTGTGTTTGAGGCCTCGACATTTCTGTGCTACTGGGGAGTGCCCCCCGAGAGCACGTCCTGAAAGCACCAAGGTACCTTCAGGAGGCACCGAACCCTTGTTGGGAGCATGGGGATGGACAAGAAAGCGGCAAATTTACATCCAAAAGAGACAATGTCAGAGTCAGCCTTGCGCTTCAGCCATCTCAGCCTGGGTTGCAGGGAAGGGTCCTATCTGCTAGGGCTACAACCAGGCCCTCAGGCCCAGCCAGGGACCACCACAGCAGAGACCTCCTGTTGCCCAAGAGCTGTGGAACATGTTCCAGCCCACAGCTGGGAAATAAATTAATCAATTATCTGGGCCAAATTGCTCCTCTTTGCTCTCTGCCAGCGCTACCACCTCCCGCACAGCAGCTCGGGGCTGCTGGGCTGTCCCCTGCACCCTGCTCAGGCTCCAGCTCCCGCTGCGAAAGCAGAGCGGCTCCCTGTGCGCACACCGACCTGCGCGACCATGTTGGAGACGTCGCCAGTGCTGGCGGGCAGCAGGAGCGTGTTGGAGTCCTTGGCCAGCTGGGAGAAGGCGCTCACGTACTGCTCGGCCACGGAGAGAGAGGCGGCTGCGCTGCCGTGCTGCGGACAGAGGGCACATCAGGGAGGAGGCACCACGGCCTGTGCCCAGCACTGGCCTTCGGGGCTGCACAGCTCCCTGCTGCCGAAGGAGCTGCCAAGGAGGGTCCCAGGGAAAGCCGAGCTTCAGGTGCACCCCTCTTGTCACCAGCATTTTGGCTGCCCCCAGGCTGGGACTCCTCACACTCACCTGCTGCGCCAGAGCAGCCGCCAGCAGCTGAATAGCCTCCGCCTTGGCCCGGGCCTTCACCAGCATGGCGTTGGCCTCTCCTGCAGGACGGACAGCAGAGCAGGCGTCAGAGGCGCCGCAGAGCCTCCTGCTCCCACAGAGCAGCACACGGATCCTCCCCGCAGCCCCCTCCTGCCGCTGCGCCCCGCGGGGCAGCACCAGCAGCGGGAGGCCGGTGCGCATGGACAGCGACCCCACGGGCTCCCAGGCAGGGAGCCCCGCAGCACAGGGCGACAGGGGTCCCGGGGCTCGCGGCACGCTCTAAGCCGAGGCGCTACCGGCAGCTTTGTTGATCTGCTCGGCCTTCTGCGCTTCCGACGCCAGGATCTGGGCCTGCTTCTGCCCCTCGGCCACGTTGATGGCAGATTCCCGCGTCCCCTCCGACTCCAGCACTGTCGCCCGTTTCCGTCGCTCCGCCTCCACCTGCAAGCACCGGTTGGATGCCCATGCATGGCCAGGCCGGGGACATCCGTGGGGAAGCACAGCAAGGACACGCTCCCAGGACACGGCACAGCAAGGGACAAGAGTTTGGCCATGAAGCGCAGTGAGCCCGTGCAGGCTGGATGTCCCTTCAGACCCCGCGCAGCGCGGAGCCCACGCTGCAACGGGCCAGGCTGCCACACTACAGGGGTCTTGTCCCTCCTGTCACCCACAGTGACCGAGCACAGGCTGCTCCCCATGGCAGTGCTGGCACCACCAGCTCACAGCAAGAGGAAAGCGCTTCTGGTTTGGCCTTCCTGCCAGCCCCTTCCAGCAAGGCTGGCAGCTCAAGGCCAGCACCTGCCCTGGGATCTGGCTCCTCCTGGGATCTCTCCAAGGGAGACCCTCAGAGCACAGGGATTTGCTTCCCGTTAGAGCCCTAGGGGTTTCAGGGAGAGCTGGCAGGCCTTTGAGTGTGGGGTATGAGCCATTGCTGCAGAAATTAGGGCAGGAATTATCACGTGTGGGCAGTCAATGAGCCCACAGGTCCCCTCATGGCAGAAGGGCCCAGTGCTGCCAGCCTGCAAGGAGCCTGGCCGTGCTGCAGGGAGGGGAGGCTCCGCGCTGTGCCAGCCTGCCCCACACCACCAAACCTGCATCTGCATGGATTCCTTCACGCGAGGGGGCACGTGGATGTCCTTAATCTCGTAGCGCAGGCACCGGATGCCCCAGCAGTCTGAAGCCTGGTTGATGGCATCCACAATGCTGGCGTTGAGAGACTCGCGCTCCTGAGGGACACAAGGGAAACAGCAGAGAGGAAGGAGAGGAGTGCGAGGAAACAGTCAGACTCCTCCCTTCGTGCGCCAAGGTCAGCTAGAAAACCCCAATTCTAAGGACACAAGGCATGGCCAACCCTTCCCAAGGCTCCTACGAGCAGGGGGCACCTTCTCTCTAGGACACCACTGCCCAAAGCTGCAACTGGTGCAACTGAACATCGGGCTACAAACACCTCCCAGGAGAGCTAACAGCTCCTGATTCTCTCCAGCAAATGCAGCACATGGGCTGAGCCCTGGGAGCCAGGACACTCATCCCTGGCCCTGAGTCCCTTACTCAGGGCAGACACAGCCCAACAGCTGCGTCCGGGTGCACGATGCCCATCGCCTTTTCTGAGTAACCAAGAGCAAAACCATCACGCAGAGCCACCAAGGCAAGATCTGCGCCCAAAGGCTGCCTGAGAAGGATGCCAGGAGCTCTGCTGGAATAGGCGGTTTGGCTGTTAAGTGTGTCCGACTGTCTGCACAGACCCCGTGGAGGCCGGGGGTGCTGCCGGATGCCGGCAGCTCCGCGATCCCTCTGCCCAGCTCACCCGGAAGACTCTGTCGAGGGAGAGTTTGCCCAGCTCAGATCTCATGGTAGTCTGGGCCAGCTGGGTCACTGCGTACTCGGGATCCTCCACCCCGTAACTGGCCTGCATAGCAGGAACAGAAAAAAACAGAAATAAGCCACGGGGTCGCTGAAAGGGATTCCGAAAGAGGCAGAATTACCAGGAGCGCAGGATGCCGTGCGCTGGGCGTCCCGGCCGAGGGAGCAGCAGCAGCGCCGGGCTCCGGGGCGCTGGGAGCTGCGACTCCTGGCTCAGGACTCGGCAGGACAGCGCGGGTACCTTGTAAGGGTCCATGACGCGCAGGTAGAGCACGCCATCGATCTGCAGGGTGACGTTATCTGCAGGGAAAGAAGGGCACGTCCTGGCACTGGAGCAGCGGAGAAAAGCAAGGGCAAACACCCTCCTTCCCTATGGAATTAGCAGGGCCGGTGCCTTCCTTGCCAGCACCAGCAGCGCGGCCCACAGGCTCGAACAGGCCTCCCCGCCTGAAAGGCTTTGTGAAAAGGACCCTATCGCTGCTCGAAAAATATCTCCTTTTGATAATGTTTAGTGCAAGTAGCCTCAGTTTTCCAGATCAAGGCACTTTATACTGCGAATATTTTAAAAAGATTAAAGAAACAAATATACATCAAGAAAAACGCCTTCATACTGAATTGAAACAGAGATGATAATTAAACAGATTTGATTTTTTTTATGTGTATGAAGACCAAAGACACGCTTGGCCTGGTTCCAGGCAGGATGACATTTCGGATGTGGCAAACGGCTCCCCGTGCAGCTTGATTCAACCCACCAAGGGGCAGCAGCTGCCCGGGGCAGAGGTAAAAGGGGAGCCCGGAGGGTTCCCCAGGGCAGAGCCGCCAGCACGGACCCCAGGGATGGGGCCCAGGGTTGGACATGGAGACAGCAACGCTCCTCCCTGGATAAGGACGCTCTCCCCTGGATAGCGACACTTTTCCCTGCACAGTGACGCTCTCCCCTGGACACTGGCATTCCTCCCTGGATAAGGGCGCTCTGCCCTGGATAGCGACA